GTGTGAAAGAGTCATCTGGGGAAGGGGGAAACGCAGCAGAACTGCCAGGCAGGATATAAGGGCTCTCTTGAGGCTAAGGAACATGAATTTACAGTGAGAGCAGTCAGCACAGTTGACTGTTTTGTTCCAACCACATTCCACTGCGTGGGTGTAGGCAGAGGCAGAACTTAGAACTGGATTTAACCTAGAGCTGGGCTTCTCCAAGTGATTGCAACAGAGGACCAAGAGGTAAAGCACCTGAATACATATGCCGGATGCCACGGTGTGAGTAAGAGTCATGGCATTCACACAGGGCAGGCTGGGAAGGAAGGATGTGCTGGGTGTGAAGATGTAGAACAATGATAAAAATCAGTTGACTGAAGGTCCTGGTGGTGTCAACAAATTGGGGGAGCGAACCGGAAAGACAGGCAGTGTTGGTCAAAGCTTGAAATTAAGATTATGGGGACTCAACTGTTGGTAATGACAAAGATTGAGATACGGCTCAAGGAATGACTGTTGATACAGAGTGGAAAACGTAATCTCTGGAGGAGAGAAGGTGAAGAGTCTAGGGTATTATAAAGGTCATTCGCTTCAATGTGAAACTACCAAAACTATGCTGGGAGAAGCACTAAAGAAAATGAGAATGATCCAGGAATCACATCTTCAGGAGATGAGGAGGCGTGTCTGTAGACTGACAGCATCATTTCCAAAACCTGGGGCAGTGGGGAAATGAAGGAAGAGAAAGGGATAATGACGGGATAACAACCTGGAAGTTTCAAAGAGCAAAAGGGACAATTTCTTTACCTCCAGCTGCCAGTCTTGTGTGTAAATGGAGTACAAGATTCCCCGTAACTCCAGCATGAGCTACATAGCAGGCCTGAGCTGGGTCGTGAGTGTGGAATTTTTCCATCGTCAGCACTTTAGAAGATTATGCTGGGGGCATTCACAAACCTGTGGTTGGCCATGGGGCTGTGATTTCTGAAAACTACAAATGATCTTTCATCATTTAAGCCATTAGCAAACTTTCATAATTCCACTGTTTAGCCCTACTGGCCTGATTTCTGGTCAAACATTCGTTTTTGTATTTGAGAGGGAAGATGAGTAAGGAAGCAACTTACAGCTAATTTAATTCAATTCTTCTTGAGAACTTCCTTAGACTATCTCAGGAATCTCCAGATAGGACTGCTGTCCTCGAGCAAGCTCTCTCAAATAAGAGAAGCCCGGAATCTCTGGGGCTCCCCAGGCAGACACAGTCCCTCTAGGAATCTGCTCTGACTTCCTTCGGCAGCTTTGCTCCCAAGGTCTGGAGCCACTGCACGCAGCTGGGACTGGCCACGGTTGCCTCAGGCCACCATTTTGCTTGCTGTGTGTTCCACAGTAATATCACTAAAATGACACCCTTTCTCTAGGCAAAGATGCTATTCTACCCTCGGTACTCTCCGCTTTTAGAGCTAATTCATCAGCATGAACAGTTTGATTTCCCAGAGTGCACCCACATTAGCCAGCAAGAGGAACAGAGCATTGGAGTTAAGTGATGATGCAGTATCCCTGAAGTCATTTCCAAAAGACGCATTCCAGAACTGTTTGGGGCAATCATTTGTCTAAGATACAGAATCCCAGGGTAATTTCTTAGAGGAACAACTCTCCTTTGTTACAGATTCTGGTGTTTTTAAAGATACATCAGCCCCATTACTCTCTACCCAAGTTCAATCCTTTAATTCTTTAAAATTTCTTACCTGATCAAAAGAAACTATTCACTGTTATAGGTAGCGTAGCATGGCGGAGATCGAAAATACTTCTGATTTGGTGGATTTTGGATCAAACCCAGCATTGTTTTTGTGTCCCTTCCAATTTAGTTAACATCCAATTCAGCTACACGGCTTTTTAACACGCTAAGGAAGAAATGTAATAAAGAATAAAAGGTGAAGTAGTCAATGCTAAGAAGGCCAGCACCCTAGGTGCAAGGTGCTAATGGGATGGCGATTCAAGAAAGCAGAAGTCATTCTAGTTGGAAAGTCATAACTTGATCTCCAGTACCTATGCTTGTGATGGGGAAATTTCCTATGAAAAATAATAAAGAGGGGAAAATAGAATGCTCCTTCAAAACATATTCTATGTCTTATTACATGGTCTGGTACAGGCACATAAGCCTACATGATACCTTGGCTCCCATAGGAAAATCCAATTGATTGGCATTCCTTTTCCAAAACTGTAACTTTCTGTGAAGATATATTAAGGTTGTCTCTCCTGATTATCTCTGGCCAAGTGGCATGCACTTATAGGAAAGGATATCATGGATGTGCTTGGAATAAGGGCAAACTAGTGCCCAAGTGGATAGAATCTCTGATGATCTCATTAGTATCCACACGGACTGACTGCTAACCAGTCATCACAGCTTACCCTTTTCTATGCTTTCATATCCTAATAAGGAGGAAAATATGTTACTTCTGGAGAGAGTGTGGGCAGGAAGAGATATGATCCAATCAAAGGAGGAGTCTGAACAGAAATTTTCCTACTCCTGGACCACTATTACCCATTTACAGGGATACTTGACACTATCCAAGGGGATAATTAACTTTCACTGAACATGTTCCATCTTAAGCTGAATCTTCTCCTTCACCATACCCTAAGATGATTAATCAATGTACCCAGCAATATACAAGATGTATATAATGAAAGCAGTAACATTGAGTCTCTGATTTCATGTTCCAGTTCAGTTGGGGAGATAAACTGATTAAGCACAGTCCCTCACAATTAGCAGAAATGGTCTTGCTTTGTAGGATACACATTAGCTAGTGCAAGAAACTTACCAATTTTTAACTAAATGGAGTTAAATAGCCAATCCTGTTTGTGCTCCCTTGCTTTACGTTTTTCAAACACTCAACCAACAATTATTTGTTGAGGGCTGCCAGTTATAAGCAAGGCACTGTATTTAACTCAGGAAAAAACATGGTAAACATGATAATATTCCAAGAATATTAGTACTGATTAGTACCCCTCCCCACCAAATTCAGTGTGACATTCTAAACAAATATTTTTAAAAAATATGATTTAAATCCTCCCTTCCCCTCCTGGTGTGCGTTTTCAATCCTAGTACAAAAGTACTGAAAGTATTTTGGTGGAGTGATGTACAAAAAAAAAGTTTGTAGTGTAAAAGAATGAACGGTTATTAGCACTCTCTTCTGCCCCTGGAAACATGAGGACTCTGCTCTGGGGGTTCCTGTTCTTTTGGAAACCCTCAGCTGGTCTTCAGCAGCAATGATGACATTAAAGAAAATTGCATTCTGCTGCAGAATTCAGTCCCTCATCTTTCTCCTTTCTCTACAACATAAAGCTAGGGGCCCACAGAAGATCTAATATCAAAAGGAAGAGGGTAATACCACTACATAGAGAAGAAAAAAAATAATAATTACCAAATTTCCTGAATAGTAAACAGCTTTAAAAAAAAAAAAAAAAAGAAAAGAAAAGAAAAAGCTGAACCCTTTGATAGCTTGGCCCTTGGTCTGCCCGTGAATACCTTAAGGATTATATCATCAGACTGACTCCAGCCGCTCGCGCTATTGTTTCAGAAAGAAGAAACCAGGAAAAAGGAAAAAAAGAAAAGGGGATGGGTGGAAGCCTTTTGGGGAGGAAAGCCTTTGATTTTGGAAGTGCACTTATCAAATATAAGGCTATAAAGACAAATTGAACAAATTCTCAGCGTCTGTGGGCAGGAGATTTCTGGGGCCGATTTTTTCCTTTTGGGGGGATTAGCATAGCCTTTGGATTCAATAACTTTTCTACCACAGATGACATTCGCTCCAAAGAGAGAGAAAGCGACCTTAGATTGCCCGGAAATGTTATTCCTGAAAACCATCACCTGGGGGCAGTCTTGGGACTGTTAATTTCCTCTGCCTCACGGGTAGAGAATTCCCTACTTTTTTTCCACGATGTACTTTCTTCATCTGTGGATGAGAAGTGGGAAAAACGGGCAAGGGAAAAGGAGGCTAAGGCGCTAGACCTCTCAGTCTCCTCAACCAGCCAGGAGGTGACCCCATGTGAATGCGCCGGACGCTCTTGAAGTCACAGAAGGTTTCCTTTGGCGCTCTGAAACGGAGCGCCTGCAAAGCAGGACACTGGCAGGTCCACGGACACTAACGACCTCCGCGCTGGATGAGATCGAGGAGCCGGCTTTCCCCGGGCGGGGGGATAAGGGAGGCTGCGCCTCCACCCCCAACCCGCACCACCGCACACGCACGCCCGGGCGTTCCCGGCCCACCGCGCCCGGCCAGCCCCTCTGTTCCGAGACCCCCGTCTCCCGCCCACTACCCCGCGGAGCCTTGTCAGCAAAGGAGGACGCGGCGTGGACCCTGCTGGACGGCTCACGAACTCCGGCCGAGCAAGCGGCGGCTTCAGCGCCCAGGCCTCCCCTAGGTCTAGCTGCGGCCACAGTTGTAAGCTCTGGTTCACCACCGAGAGCTCTCCGTGGTTCTCTCCGGGTGCCCAAATCTGGGCATCCCCTGGGGGCCTCACCTAGGGGTGAACCAGAGCTTACCCCCAGGCCGCGGAAGCCGGTCCAGGCTGCCTGCCTCCTCCCTGGGCCGGGCCAGGCAGCCGGGCTGCGAGGCACGTGGCGGCAAAGCTGATCCGGGCTCCGCGTCCGCACCCTGCGCAGTCGGGGCCACCAGGCCACCTGAACCCTTTGTGCTGGTTCCCAATCAGAATGAGCCTTGAGAGCCCCAGTGACCTTCGCGTGCCCGAGGATAGAATATGCGAGAGGGAAGCCGACTGTGGCCTCTCCCGTTTCCCGGGCCGTGCGCGGGTGTGCTGGGTCCCAGCGTCCGCGGGGCGTCCGGGCTTCGCCTAGCCGCCTGTGCGTGCGCGGGGGGTGGGGGACAGTCCCAGCAGCCGCCAGTGCCAGCGCCCGCGGTCAGGCGTGCAGGCCCCAGTTCAGGCACAACCCGAGAGCAGGGAGGCCGAACAAAGCCAGGTCCACACCACAGAACAACCGTGGAGGAACACGTCTCCTTTCTCCCCGACAGGGCCACCCCGTCAAAGAACCAGGCAGCCTCAAAAGTCGGGAAGAGACCCTTCCTGAGGGGACAAAATATCCGGCAGACAACTCAAGAGTTCTTCAAAGGGCTTGGCCTCGGCGGTACCCACGATCCCGTCCCGGAAGTTTCGGGCCCAGTCCCCACACCCCGTGGGCGCCGCACCAGCCGCGCGACTTGAGTCTGGAGGTCCAGGCGGCGGCTCCAAGGAAGTCACGCGTCGCCCGTTTCTTCCGAGGTTGTGCCTACCGGGCAGGCCTTTCCAGAAAAGAAGGGAAGGGCCGTCGATTTTCAGAATCTAAATATGTTGAAACTCAAAACGGCATGGTTACCCTCCTCCCAGAACACGGAAAAGAGGGCAATACCCGGGCTGGGGTGGCGAGGACGCTCAGCCCTTGTTCACCTCCGAGCCCTTAGAAATAAGGCGAGGTTGCCCTTTTGCCCCATCGCCGGCTGCCAAACCCACCCGCGAGGCCGGCTCACCCGGGGAGGTAGCGCGGCCGGGTTGCAGGAGACGACTCCCGGTGCGTCCCAGAGCGCGTGAACTAACAGGCAGCGTCGGGTCCGAAGTCGCCCACTGACGGAGCTGCGCGTTTGGGCGCAGAGCGGGCTTTCTAGAGGACCCGGGTGAGGGATCCGCCCCGCGGCTCTCCCTTCCCGCAGCCTCACATTGCTCCGCGCGGCGGGCGCCCGCCCTGGACGAAGGCAGGCGCAGCGGCTTGTCGCGGGAGTGGCAGAAGACGCCCTCCTCTTCACGGGGTGCCGATGCAGAGTCGCGGGAGTGGCACAAGACGCCCTCCTCTTCACGGGGTGCCGATGTAGCCTCACACCTAGGCTCTACTCTCCTCCAAGACACGAAGAACGTGCAGAACTGCGAAGTGTGTGTTGGCACCTCCCGCTTCCTGAGCTACAACGGCGGGCGGCTGGACTCCCTTTCCCGCCTGGCTCTGGCGCGCGGACAGCCTCCCTGCCTCCCCACTGGCCCGCAACACTGCGGGCCCCGCTGCTGAGATCCAGCCGGGGAAAGCAGCTCACCACCAGGGTTTTCCCTGAGTCGTAGCGGCCGGGTTAGATAAGTTAGCGGGGGTAAGCGCCTGTCTCTCCTGCACAGGTGCAGCGGAAACGTTCATATGCGGTTAAGATCGAGGTTACATTCCCAAAGACTAGGTGGAAAAACAAGAGCGGAACATCCGTTCGCTTCACTAGTTTAAGGTGAAAGTGGCCGGGAGCAGTGGCTCACGCCTGTAATCCAAGCACTTTGGAGGCCAAGGCGGGCGGATCACCTGAGGTCGGGAGTTCAATACCAGCCTGACCAACATGGTGAAAGCATATATATATATATATATATATATATATATATATATATATATATATATAAAGGTGAAAGTGAAAATGTTTTCAACTTGACAGAGCTAGGTGTTTTTTTCTGCTGTCTATTTCACTAGACAGAGCTAGGACGAATGGGCCATTAGGGAGGCCGTGTGCAGTTTTATACTATCCTCTTAATCCGTGGAAGAAAAATCTGCAATTCGCAATGTCCTCTCCTCGCTGCTTTAAGAGAATTGTTATTTACTTAGGCTGCGGGTTCTGGGAGCGCTTGAAAGCAGAGGCATCCGGATGAGTTCGGGTGGCATTCAACTGCTACCCCTTACCTTTGCCCCAAGCCTTCTCATGCCATTATTTTCCACTGGAGTCTGTGGCTGGCTTTTCTATTACTTAGTTGTTTTGCCTTCCTCTCCACTCCTTTGTTCTATACACACTCACCAATTAGATCCCCAAAATACAGAATCTCTATATAGGTGTACCTCTCTTTGCTTGGCCTGGATTCAAAGTCGCTGTGCAGGAATGTGCTTGTACCTGCAGATTCGTAGCCAAGGCTGAGCGTCCTCCACTAGCTCCATGAAGCATGGATTGGATTTTACCAACTACTCCATGAAGCCACAGGCAACTGGGTCATTTGCTGCTACAAGGTTAGGGTAGTGTCTGCTGGCCTGGTTACACACTGATATAGCAGATAAGTTTGTAAGGGCACATGAAAATGACTGTTGAAAAGCAAAGCGACCTGTCGGTTAGGAAGAATAAGTTCAAGAGACTTGTTGTACGACATGGTGACTACTGTTAGCAATTTTCAAGAATGTATTGTATTAATGAAACTTGCAAATAGACCTTAGATGTTCTCACCACACACACAAAAACATGTGACGTAATGCATATGTTAATTAGCTCGATTTAGCCATTCTACAACATATATATATATATTTCAAAACAACATATATATAATGAATATATACCATTTTTATTTGTCAAATAAAACTTAAAACTAAGTGATATTTTGAGTCTACTTGTGGCGTTACTGAATTTCAAAAGTAAGGAAAACTGAATCCAGCTCCCCACTCTATCCTACTTGTTTTTCTGGGTGTGATTGCTCTGTGTAAGTAATTTGTATAGTCACCTGTATATTTGTGTACACATGTGCCTGTGTGTGTGTACATACTGTTGAAGTTTACACCTATGGAAATTGTCCTAAGTCAGTCTCCTCAATGCCATAGTCACTGAAAAGAAATCCATTGGTTGCAGGGTTATTTCCAACCTCAGAATGATTCTGGAAGGGGAACAGACTTTAGGAATGAAAAGCATTATTTTAAAAAGATTTAACATATTTTGCTTCTCAGCATTATCCCCAAAGGTAGTAGATTGGAAGTTGGAGCACAAGGCTGTTCCTCCCCCACTTCCACAACTGCCCAAGAGGAAAAGTGTGAACGCTTAGGACAGCAGCAGACTTGTTACCACCCCTGGCAATGACCCAAACGTCTGCGTATCCTGAGGTCTGAGTCCCAGCACTCAAGAGTTCTGAGTTGTCTCGCAAACCTGCCATGAAGCCAAATTGGAGTTTGCTGGTTGAATTTGTATACACACATACACGCACACACACTCATACACATATTTACAAAGAGTCTGGCAAAATGCCCCGTTCATGGTAGATACTCAACGATTACTTGCTGAGTGAATGCATGAACTTATGTGCATATCCATTCTGTCCAAAGCTAGGGTTTTCTTTTTAAACTGAATAAGTTTGTATGTACATATGTAATACACATGTGACAAAGAATTGTGTGCCTGGGATATAGGAGGATTTTTGTATTTGTTCCTTTTTGCCTTCTAGTTTTACTGAGTAGCTCCCTCTCCTATGTCCCTGCCAAGGCCTTAGGTCTTTATAACCAATTGGTAAAATTATCCAACCCCCACCAAAGCCTGTCAGTCAGCCAGGAAAAGCAAACGCATTGCTTTAGTTACATCCTTGCTTTCCTCACAGATCACACTCATGTTTCTATAAAAGTCCTTGGGCTGATTTCATCCTGCACACCCATACATTCCTTTAAACTCTCTCTAGGAGGTATACTGATTGGGTTTCACAGGCCTGCAGACAGGCAGGCCGCCCCTGTTAGCCCACCCCAGCCTCAGTCAGCATTTTCACAGAGTGGCTGAAGTTCTCAGGACAGCTTAGGGTCTTAATTTGGGAGAGGATCGACAGTTTCAGAAAGGACAGAAGTCACCATTCTCACTCTGCCTAAGACTAGTCTCATAGTCTGTGTGTATGTGTTTTACAAAAGCATGCATTTAATCACAATAATTTGACTTGAGAAACGACACACCTAACACCTCAGAGAGAAGACTTCAGTGCCAGGACTTTGGAGCTTAGTGGATCTCAGTCTTGCCACCCAGAAGACCCTAGGTCTTCATCCCTCTGAGGGAGCTGGAGGGTCTTCTAGACCCTAGTCAGGCCTGCCTGCTGCCACCTAGAGGATGCTGATACCCTCTTCTTCCCACTTTGCCCAGACACCCCCCCCCCTCCTTTTTTTTTAGGAGTTTCTCTCTTTGCCCAGGCTGGAGTGCAATGGCACAGTCTTGGCTCACTGCAACCTCCACCTCCTGGGTTCAAGTGATTCTCGTGCCTCAGCCTCCCAAGTAGCTGGGATTACAGGCGCCTGCCATCACGCTCAGCTAATTTTTGTATTTTTAGTAGAGTGGGGTTTTACCATGTTGGCCAGGCTGGTCTCTAACTCCTGGCCTCAGGCGATCCTCTGCTTAGGTTTGCCAAAGTTCTGGGATTACAGGTGTGGGCCACCCTCCCAGCCCAGACCATTTTTGACCCTTTCTAAGGAATAGTGGGCTGGAAGGAGCAGCTAGGAGTCCCCCAGTTACTGCACGGGAGGGAAGGAACTAATTTCTCTGCCCTCAGAGCAGATTCAGTCTCCCATAGCCCGAAGAGCCAAGCAAACAGGACAAATAAAGATTCTTCCCTTTCTCTTTCTCCTCCACTCTCCTTTTCCTTTCCCAACCTGTCCTCTCACACTCCCCCTTATACTTTGGGAGTCCCAGAAGTCCATGAAGGGAGTAATCTCTAAAGGCTTTGGCCCCAGAGTCACTGCCTGCTTGTCAAGAGGGTGATGGGGACAGAAAGCTATTTTAAAAGCTCCACTTAAAGCACCCTCCAAAAAAGAAAACCTAGTAGCAGCTGTTAAGGCAAACTGAAATGTTTCAGATCTCATACCCAGCCCCTCAAGAAGAACAATATTCCTTTTTTAAAATGAGATAGAACAATGATCAGGACTCAGAGTGTGTAGGGTAGAGGTGGGACAATGGAGAGGAGTCTAACTTGTTTCTAAGCAAAACAACTACAGAAACGTCAAACTGTGGTTGTCTCCGGAGCAGTTCTGCTATGAGTACCTTCTCCTTTTCCCAGTATGTTCCCCGTCGGTCCCCAGGAAAACATACCCCAGGATCCACATGGGAAACAGGAAGCCCAGACCCCGCAGTTCACTCAGTGAGACGTCTGATTTGAAGCAGGAAACCCGTGAGCCTCAGTTTTTTCACCTGCCTGCCCCACCCACCTCGGAGGCTACGGCCCAGAAGGGCTTCCTATTTGCTAGCACTTTACTGTTTATAAAGAACCAGAGTGGTGACAACCCAAAGGCATCTCAGTGCAGGGACCTCCGCAGCCTGCAGCCTGCTGCCTTCTCGAAGTTCTCTAGGGGCTACTTTCTGAGTCGCCTTTAAAAAAACGAAACCAAACCCCAACTCAACAGTGTTGAATCAGCTGTTCATTCTACCTGGCCTGCCCCGTGTGAGCTACAGCCACAATCCCTAACAGTCACCCAGGGACAAATTAAGGAATTGAAAATGCTGAGCTTGAGAAGTCGAATTCCTTGCACTATTTGGGGTCGTTAATCACCCAGCAGAAACAGCAAGCAGGGAAAGTAGCCGGAGGGACAGAAAGACAGCGTGTAGGTCTGTGCGCTGGTGTTAGCGGGGCTCAGGTGGTGGGATTCAAATATAGATGTGGACGCGTGTCAGATGTACTCTAAATGGGCACCCAGCCAGCATAGTTGACCAATCCCAGGAACAATTAAGCTGCCCGAATCACCCCAGTTTGACAAAAGAGGAATGTGGTCTCTGCAATTAAGAGACTTGTGCTTGGTTAAGTCGTGAGTCAATGGTCCAGTGAGTCTACTGGTTCACACCCACGCGCGGGTGTTTCCCGAGAGGCACCAGAGTGCGGGGGTGGAGGGGTTAGAGAGAGATAGAGGAGAGGGAGAGAGAGACAGACTGACTTCTGTGCAGACCAAGAAGGGTGAAACTTCACGAAAAGCCACCTTCCGGAGAGGGGAATCCTGACAAATTCAGTCTCTTCTGGAAACTCCAGGAACCCTGGCCCTGGGGTTGGGTACCCTGGCAGGGGCTTCCAAGAAAGACGCGCTTTTTATGTGCGCCCACCTATGCCTGACTCTGATCCCTTGCCCTTTCGGAATCCACGAGTTTAGGCCTGGATCCCCCTGCTCTGGGGGCGTCGCAGGACAGCACTAAGGCACCGAACTCCTCTCCCTTCCGTAGTCCTGACTGGGGGCGGGGGGGGGGGGGGCTTCTGGTCACACTTTCTAGCAGGCAGGCTCTGGGGCACAGGGCCGCCCTAGAACATGCCCGGATCATCTCTTCGCAGCTCTATAGTTTTAGGGACAATTTATTCAGTGAAGCTTCTCAGACAATACAAAGTTCTGAGGTTTCCTGGACGTTGTGTTCTGGAGGCGGGGCCGGGACCCGCTGACGGCAGTTTCCCAGCCCTGTTCCCCCTCCCCTGCCCCCTCAGCCGCCGGGCGGCAGAACGAGGCGGCCAGCCGACTCCTGCCCCTCGGCCGGACGAACCGCGGCTGCCGCGCCCGTCACCTCTGCACCTGCCTGGCTGAGGTGAGATGCCTGGCGCGCACCGTGAGCGCGGTGCGCGCAGGCCAGCGCAGAGCTGTAGGGTCTGCCTCGGGGTCGAGGACTTCGAATGACGGGTGGGAGAAGGGCCTGCGAGGCTGGCAAAGAATCACCCTCGGGGGAGCGAAAAGAACATACATTTTTCGGTGACCCAGGGAATGGTCCTAGCTTTGCGGCTCAGGAACCTGGGATCATTTAACGTCAAGTGGTAGGGACGTCAGTTTCCTTATCTGGAAATGAGAATAACACGGTGGCCCCACCCTCCCAAGGTGGGGATAGCTCCCAGATCGGAGATGCAGTCCGGTGGGCGGCTAGGGAAACGTAGAACTCAGGGCAGGAAAGAGCAGGCGCGCTCTCAGCTGCTTTAATCCATCTTTCTTTAGTAGAAAAAAATTACATTTAAAACAGCAATGGCCACATAAGGACAATTCAGATGAAGGGCAAGCGGGCTGACATTGCGCACTTGGGTCTTTCCTGGAAAGACGGCGGCGCTCTGGGAGAAGCCTAGTCCTCCGGCTTGTCCCAGGACCCACCCCAAAGGGCGCTGGGAGCGCGGTGAGGACGTGGCGGTCGCTTTGCGCATCTCACTCCGGAGACAGGTTCCGCAGAAAGAACCCTCCATCTCGGCCGCTTGGCTCCAAGATAATCTCCTGGCGAAAGCTTAGAGACGGCCAGCTCCTCCCGGGGACTCAGCCCCTAGATTTAGCTTCTTCCGCCGCAAAAAACAAACAAACAAAAACCTCCCAAGCCCCGCGAACCAGCAGCGCGCCTCTCCAGGCTTCCGGCGTGGGAGTCCCAGCTACACTTCCGAGCCCTTTGCTTGGTCCGCGTCTATCCGCTCCTCGATTAGGGAAAGCGCAGTGGGGACGGAGGGAACTGCGGCCTCACGTACCAGGCCTCTGTAGTCCCCCACGCGGCCGGGTCACAAGGAAGCAATGCCACAATTAAGAACCTCCGCTAACCTCTGCCTGGAAAACCTGGTGCTGATCTAGGTCTCCCAAATAATCTGAATATCCCCAGTCCTTCCAGTAGAACAGCTAGCCTGAGCGCAGGGAAAATTGACCAGGAGCCTTCAGCTAGCCTTCTAGCTTTGAGCTAGATTAGGGGAATGGCGACTTGGTGGCTTCTTCACGGTTTCTTGGTGTATTTGGTGACTCTACAGATCCGGATGGGTCCCCCTCATTCTCTTCCTCACCACGCACACCCCGCACACCCCGCGCTCTGGGCAAGTCGGCGTCTCTAGAAGAGCCTCAGGGTTCTGAGTCCCTTGGGGGCGCGCAGAAATGGTCAAGGCAAGGTGTCTTCATAAGCTCTGAAGCTATTCCTTTCCCCGCTGCGCACCCTGCAAAATTGCTGGGGAAGAGAATTTAAAATACGATGGCCCAAATGCACTGTTGAGAACACTTTGCAGTTGGGCAACCTCGACTGCGTCTCTCTCCCCCTCTTTCCTCCCCATCGCTCCTCCTCCAGATGCACCAGAAATCGGCACTTTGATCTTGCAAAGCAGTAATTTATATTTCTTTAATTTTTTTTCCTGTAAAACGATGATTGGACCGGGGAGAAAATAATGCAATCCCCCGGGCACAGAGATGAAGAGCGGCTGTCTGGGCTATGCCGGGGCGAGGCGACGGGACCGTGCACATCTGTTTCCCCCGGGTTTGCAGTTTGCAACGCCTTCCTCTTCCACAGGTTTCTTCGGCGCCCCCTACTCCCCACCAACTTTGGTTGTTTTTTGTTCTCTCTCTCTCTTTCTCTACCCCCCAACCCTCCCTCCTCCCCATCTCTCTGTCTACTCTCTCCCACTCCACCCGGGGAACCAGCTTTACCCCAGGCAGGAAGCTAGGCTTTATTTGTCTTTGACCAAGAGTTGCTGGGCTTACGGTGGGGGCTTTGGGAGCGCAGGAGGGAAAGTCAAGGCTGAGGCTCCAGTTTGGGGAAGTGAATTGAAGAGAGAGGAGAGGAGCTCAGAGAGAAAACCTTCTGCTGCCTTGGAGAGGAAAACTCAAAAGCCCTGCACCCTCTTCCCTAATAGCAGAGGGGTAGGCGGGGACAGCCTCAGACTCAGTGAGTGGAGGGCCAATATTAGCTAGTTTTCACGCGTCTTTCCCGCCACTCAGAGCACAGAGATTTACTGGAATAAGTCAGATGTGCAACCTTTCTCAGCACTTTGCCTAATAACCTCAAATTGGATTAAGATTTGGGAAATATTAACTGCTTAAAGCGCCAAGCATCTGGGCTTCCCACTGATTTCTCCCACCCTCCCGCCAAGCCAAAGGTCCCTCCCTTCTGTGCCTGGGTCAACCTGGCCAAACTCCCACTGCTCTGGAACCTGCTGGGTCTTCCACTTCCTGGGGCCCTCAGCCTCTTAGCCCTTTCTCCTGATAACTACATTCACTTCCTGCACTCTGAGATATCTTCTCTTTGCTCCCTGGCTGCCCAGGGCACTCTGTATCCAACACATCAGTGTTTGAGAAAGGAGTTCAGGAGACCCACCCCTACCTGGCCTTCAGTCTGCAAGCTGGTTCCTCCAGCCACACACCTACCCCCTTCCCCCACTCTCCCTCTTCCAGAGTCTCCTCAGGAGGCTGCTTTGTGCTAGGAACTCTTCGCCCAGGCCTTCAAATCCCAGGCCGTGGGCCACCATGGCTCTGCTATACATGAAGTGATGGACTTGCTCAGAAGACAGGTTCTAGAACCCCTAGTCCTCTGCCAGTACGTCAAATCCTGACAGTGCCCAGCTGCTTGGGGAAATGGGCCAAGGTGGAGGGCACTGATCTATGCCCCAGACAGGGGTGTGGCCAGGGTCTCAGTAACAGAGGCAGTGCTAACCACTTTCCTTCTATTTTTCTTTCCCTTTTTTCCTTTCTCCATTCCTTTCCTTTTTTCCATTCCTCTCTTTCTTCTTTTTTTCTTAAATTCCGTCTTCTTCCATTCCCTGTCATGTTTGCCTAGGCTTCATTAGCCTTTCTCTGTTCCATAAGGCCACAATCCACATTCCTCAGGCCCGCAGAGGCTGCTAGGACACTTGTCCACCAGCATCTCCAGCCCTAGAGAGAGCCCGTGGAGGGCGCCGTGGGGAAACTGGCAGCAAAACAGGAGCAGCTGGTGTTCGAGCCCCCAGGAGCCTCCCAGAGCCCAAGGCCCAGGTGAGGGTCTCGGTGACTCCACCTTGCACATACCTTTCCTTTGAGCATCTAACATTTCCACTCACTCACCTTCCCCAGAGTCTTCCCCAGGAAGACTTCCCCTTCCCCTAGCTGGGCTTCCAGTCATAGGTTTAAAAAATTCAGGAAAAATAGATGGAAAGAAGCCAAATGGGGGTCCCTGGATGATAGGAGAGGCTGCCCCAGTCAGCCGGCTGGGGGGAAAAATGCATCTGTAGCACAGAGGAAGCTCCCCCAGTGGGCTGTTATTAGAGAGGATAGAGTGGAGCTCCAGGAGCTGCACAGGGCAGACGCCTGGACATCCGCACCAAGGAAACCCAGGCAACACCACCTTACCTCAGAGTTTTAATGCAGCGTTTGCACAGAGCAAGACGGCCAGTGAGACTGGATTTGCCATCCAGGGGAGAGGAAAAAGTAGCCCAAGAGGCTGCCAACATTCCACTGAGAAACCCAAAATGGGGAAAAGTCAAGAGTAAAGAAGGGACATCTTCTTGCATTTCGCCCTCTTCCCGTTCCCTTCTGGATCCCACAGGAAGCGGTGGGTTGGGGCCTGGTGCAGGGTGTCCCAGGGACTAGCTTCTTCCCCTCCACCCCCAAAAGCTTCCTTTACTCCCGGCAGCCCAGGAGGCCCTCCTGGCCAGCCTTTGCTGGGGGCAGGTGGGAGGGGTCTGGAGGAGGGTAGAGTGGGAAAGAGCTGGACCTGTGGCCTCTGCTGGGGGAGGAAGCTGCAGCCACCCGGGCGCTGAAACAAGACCAAACTCACTCCCCTAACCGGAACTCCTCTAAGCCCAGAGGTCTAGAGGGATTTTGCAGCATCACTGCCAAGGTGCATCTTTTGAGGGGTGGGGTGGGGACTTCGATGGTGAGTCTGTCTCTCTCTTTCAGCTGTGTTGCCCAAGGCTAGTCTGTGGCTTGACAGGAGCCCTTCAAATTAAGCCAAAATCTTTTTTCTCCCAGGCTGAGGTTTTTCCTCTGAACTCTGGGGTGCTGCTCCCTTCCATTTGGCTCCAAGGACCTGTGAGGTTTCCCTGTCTTTTTTTTTTTTCTCGAGAGGAATATGATTTACAAGTCCTCAGCTACTCTAATAAATAACTGACACCAATAAGTGCTCGGAACCTTAAGACCACTTCTTATTTGCATTGCAAGTGGATCTGAGGTGTAGGGATGACAATTAAAATAAACAGAGGACCCCCAAGTTGAGCCCTGTGAGTGTGTGTGTGTGTGTGTGTGTGTGTGTGTGTGTGTGTGAGTTTGGGGGTAGGCGAGAGAAAACTCAGTTTGGAAACATTTGGGGGCCCATCATAGGCAGCTGTGTCTCACTAGAGGTCATCACAGAGTGATGGAGATAGCTCCCATGCTGTATTGACACACTTTGTCCTCAGGGAGCTCCCAATTGGCAGGCAGAGGTGGTCTGCTTGGCACTGGCTACAGACCACCACTGCGAGGGCAGATTCTACTTAAGACTTAATTGCTGTTACCAGCCTACAAGTGGTTGGGGATCCTCAGCCAAGAGATTACTGGTGTGTGGGGGTAAAAGTCCAGAAGCCTTCAGAGAACAGGTGGCTTTGGGGTTGAGCCAAAAAAGGGTAAAAGCCATGCAAAGGGGGATGCTTTTGAGCCCAGGTTGGCTGGAGACCCAAAGAGAGGGCTAGCCAAGGGCTGGTCTGAGGTGAACAGCAGGATCCGCTGAGCAGAATAAGAGCTTAGCAGCATGATCCCAGTTGATTGCCCCCTAGTTCTAGGTGACTGCCTCCAGGGTCCCTTCCTGGAAGCAATCACTGTAGTTCCTGCAGTGGTACGTGTTCTGTTGGGCACCTGGCTGGGCCGCGCTTTGAGTAATGTCAGAGTGCGGGACCCCGCCCCATCATCCCCTTGCTGGAAAGGATGCTTTGAAGGCCTCTCATATGTATTTTAGATCTGGGCAGGCAAGATATTTTGGCCATTGTAAGACAGTTCCATCAGGGCTCCATCTTTCCCTGCTAAGTTACTTGAGTCAATTGCAACCAGAGAGAGCCTAGGTGTGCACAGAGAAGGGCTGAAGGCAGAGGCGCTAAGAATTCCAGTCCTAGAATTCTTCTTGGAATTTTACCTGCATTAAAAGCTGTGAGATCTTTACCAAGCCATCTCACTCCCCTGCACCTCAGTTTTCTCATGTTTAAAATGGGGCTGGTAATCCCAGTTCTTGGCTTGTAGAGCTCAAAGCGGATGACACAACTCTAGGTAGAGCACTTAGCAGGGGGTAAGGCATGGAGTAAAAAGCCCAGTAAATATTAGCGTTTCTTAATTGGTGCAGACCAGGAGGAGAGGAGATGCAGAATGAAACCGGGTGACAAGAGAAGGCTGTGGAAATAAACACTTATTTTGTTTCTCTGGATAGCAAACACTTTCTGCAGCTTTCTGAGCTGGCTCAGAAGTTCTCATTTCCTGTGGTAAAGGCGGCCAGGGATAGTCATATTGGGTGTTAGTGAAGCCTCCATCCACCATAGTGTCACTGGCCATTGCCTCCCCCCAAGAGTTCTCAAGCCTCGAAGGCCTCTAATGCCACAGATATCATTGATAATTAGGAGAAGATGGATTCATGAATGATTACATTTTGGACATTCCTTTGTTTGCCTAGATTTGTAGGCTGTCTTACGAAGCTCTTGGAAAGTATGTGAATTAAGTATTTTTCGTAGTTACAGATGAACAACTTTCCTCTCCGCTGGCTTCCCAGGGTACTTGGCAGTGGGCCAGGGTACAATGCCTCTTGTGGCTGTTTCAGTGGGACCAGCAGTGGGACTG